TCAGCCTGTGATGGCCTGTAGTCACCTCCCCTTTTTTCAATTCCAACCCCTCCTATTACTCGACCCAGACATACCTACGTCATGCGCCCTTTGGGCATACGAGTCATTCAGCCGGACACGTTGCATCTGAAATCATTATCGGCGTAACATATAATGAATGAATGAATGAATTGCTTAAACGGATAATCGCATCACTGGTGCGAATAGCATCGGCCCTGCCAATGCATCTTGAAATAGTAGATATCACATTTCAGTGAAGTCTTGGTACGAAGAAATTAAAACACAAAAGTTCTTGCACAAGCACTGAAGCACATGAGTTAATGAAGCTATACACTATGTACACTTACGGGCGGTGGTATTTGAGCGAAGCAGCAAATAGTGAAAACATTGTACACTACGATAGCAATAAAATAAATCAGAGCTTTGAAGATCCAGGTACACGGATCATGTCCATAAGTCCACAATATTTCAAAGTCTCTGGTATAAACACTAAGAGAAATTAAATACAAATGACAAATAAATAAGATCATGTGCTTTGAAGATCCAGGTACACGGATCATGTCCATAAGTCTATAAAGTTTCAAAGACACTGGTAAAATGACACAATGAGATAAAGATAAATAAGATAATAGTACTATGTACAATATATACACATTTCACCATTTGCTGTTATGGAAGATGCCTCTTGGGCGCTTTGCTGCAATTTCTATAGTAGGATCATAATTTATCAGATTCACGGATATGTTCGTATTGAGAAAGTTCTATTTCGTAGCATAGAAATTGTGGCTCGTGGTGAGAATTTGATCATCTATGGGTCTTATTTTTAGTTCTTTATGTATCTGCAGGTTACGTACGAACCATGGGGAGTCAACAATTTGTCTGAGTATTTTGTTCTGAAAGACCTGTAGTTTGTGTCTATAAGTCTTGTACACAGTGGCCCAGATAGGCACTGCATAAAGTAGGGTGGGTCTTATTAAGCTGTATGTATAGATCTTCTTCTTGAGACTGATATTTAATTTAGCATTTCTTCTTATTAAAGGGTAAAGAGACATTTTAGCAGCGGTGGCTTTGCGCAAGGCATACTCCGTGTGTTCTTTGAATAACAGCTGTGAGTCGAAGACCACTCCTAGATACTTGGTACTTGAAACAATTGCTAGGGCTTGATCATTAATTTTTATATTTACATTCACAGGAGTGAACTTCCGATGACGTCTGAAAAGGAGAATTTGGCTCTTTGACGGATTTACTTTTAATTTCCATGAATCATAATAGTGTGCTATGATATTTACTGCGCTTTCAAGTTTATCTCTACAGCGAGCTGAGGTTTTAGCGACTTGGTTAAAATTACTGTGTCGTCGGCATATTTCACTACTTTTGCATTCAAAGGAACCGGCATATCATTCGTGTGGATATTGAACAGAAGCGGACCTAAAACGCTTCCTTGAGCCACACCGCTTTTAATTCTTTTTCTTGAGGTGAAGGAGTCATTAACTTTTACCTGAAAAGTACTGTTTTTAAGATAGCTTTTCATGAACTCATGGGCAGATGAACAAGGTGTAGGTTGTAGAGGAGAACTCTTGCCACACATTTTCAAATGCTTTTTCTAAATCTAGAAAACTACTGGAAATTGTGTTTTTTTGTTGCGAAGGAGTCTGCAATGAATTCTGTGACGTTTAGTATTTGGTGCACGATACTATGACCGGCTCTAAATCCAAACTGCTCTTTACATATAATTTCCTTATCCTCTAGATGTTGAGTTAATCTCTTTTGGAGCACACGCTCAAATACCTTTCCCAAACTGGGGAGAAGGCTGATCGGACGGTAGGAGTTTAAGTCCTTTGGGTTTTTCCCCGGCTTGACAAACGTAATTATCTGCGCGTGCTTCCACTGTTGCGGAAAGTAATTGAGCCTCATACAAGCATTGACTATGTTTGTAATGAGGACTATGTAGGTTCTTGGGAGAGCTTTGAGAACCGTATTGGTGATGCTATCGTAGCCGGGAGCTTTCCTGGACTTTAAGTTGCTAATTATATTACTTATTTCTGCTGGAGAAGTTGGGTTTGAAGTGATTATTACAATTTCTGTCAGCTAGGTGGTTAATGAAATTATCGACTTCTTCATCTGTCTCATCATTATTAGAGGCATGATTGGTGAAAGTCTTTTCTAGAGATGCTGCGCAAGGGCTTCAGCCATGTCATGTTCAGAATAAGCTATTCCGTTACTGGTGTGGAGAGGGTCTATATTTCTGTTATTGGAATTTCTTAAGGATTTTCCAATATGCCCAACTTTCCCCAAACTACGCAGAAGGCTGATCGGACGGCAAGAGTTTAAGTCCTCCGGGTTTTTCCCGGCTTGACAAACATAATTATGTGCGCGGGCTTTCATTGTTGCCGGAAGTATTTCCATTGTTGCTGGAAGTGCTGAATATATTTTGTAATAACTATATCAAGAACATCCGAGATGCCTGTGTGGTGATACCTTGTGGGTTCCGTAAGTCCAAAGATTCTTAAGTCATTGGTAAGAGCATATAGTTATAAAGTTTGTTACCATTTGCATTATTTCTTTGAGAGTTCCAGCTATGATGTTTAGAATTCAGGTCCCCTGCTATAATAACAGGGTGAGTGATATTGTTAAAAATTTGCAAGTCATTGTTGGTGAGAATGTTTCTGGGGGATTATAAGCCGAGATGATGACAATCGGCTCATTTGTGCGCGAATGCACAACGATCGCAGTGGTTTCAATGCTGCTGCTATTGGGAATATTAAACTCGTTGGCGTGCAGATGCCTTTTAATTAATATCATAGTACCGCCGCCCCTGTTATGGTCTCTGTCCGTCCTGAATGCGTTGTAACCATTGATCTTGAACTTATCATTAGGTCTGAGCCAAGTTTCATTCACTAGAAACACATCAATATTATGGTGATTAAGGAAGTTTGCAACTTCAACGTTCTTGTGGCGAATACCGTTGGCGTTAAAAAATGCGAAGTTTAAACTGCTGGGGGCAGTGAGGTGAGTTCTTGAATTACTGTTAATGTGATTAAAATTCATAATTGATGCTTGATAAAAGTTCAAAGGCTTCCCAGCCGACTTGGATTTTTTTCCAATATTGATTTAGATTTTAAGAACCGCTCGAAGAGATTTTTTCCTTGCAGGAATAATTTCTTCAGCCAAATTATGAAATCGGAAACGGAGCCTAAGTTCTCACTTTCGACAGCTGCGTCCTGATTGGTGGATGAAGCATTTTGCTCATTAACATTTTCACTGCTATTTTGAGTTATGTTTCTTCTTGGAAGAGGTGGGAAATTTTCTAAGTTGATATCAGGGGGACTATTTTTTGAAGTTTTTCTCGCTTCTTTTTGGAATTCTTTTTCTGCAATTTTTCTTTTCAAGTTATCCGGATGCATTTCGCAACCACGGTACGAACTAATGTGGGGGCCTCCGCAGAGGCAACATTTGCCGGGTAGTTTCTGTCTTTGTGTACATGTAGTAGTAATATGGTTTTGCCCGCATTTTAAACACCTGGGCTTGTGCTTACAGTGAGCACGACTGTGGCCATACCTCTGACAGTGGTGACACTGTTTGTGTCCTGGAGTGGGTCTGAAGGGAGTAATTTTAACAGCCAAATCTAGAATATGCGTTATGTTGTATATTTTCTTGCCTTCTATGCTGCGTTTTGACTTGCGTTTAAACCATGAAAGTGGGTAGTTTGACAATTTCATTGTCTATTTTCTTGGTAACTTACTGTTTTAACCGGGATGTTATTATCTATTAGTTCTTCCATAATGTCCTCGGGTTTGGTGTGAACAGATAATTTTTTGATTACAACTCTTATCGGTTTATCCTGAGGGAGAGGGAAAGGTATGGTAAGGAATTTCCTTTTCGTCTAGGTATCTCGTGACTTCACGATACTCAGTGTCCGATTTTAACTTTAATGTGGATATCACCACCTTTCTGTACACATTCCATGGATATGGTAAATTGCTTAATATTATCTCTGAGGGCTTTCCAGTCCGTGACATCTGAAATGATAATCGGCGGAATTCTGTTAGCCTTTTTGTTAAGCGTAATGAAATCACCTTCATTATTAGTACTGTCTTCTTGTGAGTTTAGCGAACTAACATTTGTAGTGTCCATTTTATCATCTATTTTTAGTGAAGGCGTATTTATTTTTGGTTGACGTCATTGAAGCGTTGCTGCTTTCACTAAGTGTGCGTTTGTGGTATTTTTTGGGTGTAATCCATTTTTCATTATAATTATTTATTTTGCTTGTTTCTTGATTAGCATTTGGGTTGTTTGCGTTGACTAGATGCCGATACACTGCTGCATTATTAGCAATAGGGATGTGACTATAGATATTTTATATTGAGGTTATCGATAAATCGATATAAGCTAAAACAAAAAGCAATTAATAAAGCACAAATAAATAACTAAAATGCTAAGAGCGAACGTACTTTATTACTGCATGCTACATCGAAACGTGAGTAAACATAAGAGTTGTCACTTGTCTGATACAAAGTTGAGTTGTTACTACAATACTTTGCACTTTCTGTATCACTGAATCTCCTGCTACAAGCTTAAGCGCTACATACTTCTCAAACTCTGCGTAAGTTTTGTGGAGCCATTGCCCCAATTCTGGGTTGGTTTTCCGCGATCCGCTTCTAAGCGTATTGAAATCTAAGTTAAACTCAGCCAAAATCTGCCTACACTCCTCAACCGTCCCATTTTTAAGAATATCCTCAACAATATCACGTTTTTTAAAAATTGCTAAATCGTCTATCTCATCCATTTTAACCTAGTCCTTCTATCCTACCAATAATTTGAACAAGGCAATGTCCATAATGAAAGCATAAAAATCAAAAATATACTCACGAACGTGTCCGGATGAGGATGAGCTGATCCAAGTACAACCTTCTCTCCATAAATCCAAAGCTCGAATGCCTAAAAAAAAAAAAAAAAAAAAAAAAAAAAAAAAAAAAAAAAAAAAGCATTTTAGCAACAATTTACGAAGTCATATATTACATGAAGTCCTTCTGCCCGCTGGTCGAAAATATAATTTTATTTGTGAAGGAATTTCAAAAGCGGCGTAAGTTGGCACCAAACAAAATTGGCTTTCAAAATTTGGCGGATTTTTTTTGGCGGCAATGAAAGCATTAAAATTAAAATCGTATTTATGTGGAAGAGATTATTAGAAATCAAAGCATGCATATATTACGTACCAGATATGTCTAGCGTATAATATGTTTTGATATTTTTATAAAGATATTCACATGCAACCCATTTTACATTCATGAGTATTATCTGAGGTATGAAGCAAGTTATATGATACGAAAATTAACATTTAAGGGGTATGCAAGAAACCATTTGAAACAAGCAGTATTTTGAAAGAGCATATGAATAGCCATACAGAAGAAAAACCTCATGTGCAGGTACTGAAACAATTATTCAGGCAGCATTTTAAACAAGCATATGAGTTTTCATACAAAAGAGAAACCTCATATCTGTGAAGTATGTTAGAAAACATTTTCTCAAAAATGTAGTTTAAACAATCATATGCTTGATCACACAGCATAGAAACCTTACATGTGTGAAATATGTAAGAAGTCGCATAGTCAAAAGAGTTATTTAAATACGCATATGCTTATTCACACATAAAAGAGACCTTACAAATGTGAAATATATAAGAAGTCATTTAGTCAAAAGTGTAGTCCAAACAAGCATAAGCTTACTGATGCAGGAGAGAAACGTTATGCACATGAAATATATAAAAATCAATTTAGTCTTAAGGACAATTTAAACAGGGACATGCAAATCCCCACAGGAGAGAAACCTTATATGTGTGAGGTATGTAAGGAGTCATTTAATCTTAAAAATATTTTAAATAAGCATATGCTTACTCACACAGGAGAGAAACTTTATGTATGTGACGTATGTAAGAAGTCATTTAGTCAAAAGAGTTATTTAAATAAACATAAACTTATTCATACGGGAAAAAAACCTTATGTGTGTAAAGTATGTAAGAAATCAGTTAGAGATAAAGGTAATTTAAACAAACATATGCGAATTCACACAGGAGAGAAACCTTATGTGTGTGAAGTATGTAAGAAGTCGTTTCATCAGAAGTGTAGTTTAAAATATCATTTGCTTATTCACACTGGAGAGAAAACTTATGAGTGTGAAGTATGTAAGAAGTCATTTGCTCTTAAGTATAGTTTTAACCGTCACTTGCTTTCTCACACAGGAGAGAAACCTCATGTGTGTGAAGTATGTAAAACATCATTTAGTCTTAAGTATAATTTAAGCCAGCATATGCTTATTCACACAGGAGAGAAACCTCGTGTGTGTGAAGTATGTAAGAAGTCATTTACTACTAATATGACTTTAAAGCGGCATATGAATTTTCACACAAGAGAGAAGCCTTATATGTGTGAAATATGTGAGAAGTCATTTAGTCAAAAGAATCATTTAAAGAGACATGTCCTTATTCACATTGTAAAAAAAGCTTATTTGTGTGAAATTTGTAAGAAGTCATTTAATCAAAATGATCATTTGCATCGCCATATGCGTGCCCACGCAGGAGTGAAACCTTATGTGTGTGAAGTATGTAAGTACTCATTTAGTATTAAGAGTGAGTTAAACAATCATATGCTTATTCACACAGGAGAGAAACCTTATGAGTGTGAAGTATGTAAAAAGTCATTTAGTCAAAAGAGTAATTTAAAGAGACATAAACGTATTCATACAGGAGAAAAACCTTATGTGTGTAAAGCATGTAAGAAATCATATAGAGATAAGGGTCATTTAAACAAGCATATGCTTATTCACTCAGTAGAAAAACTTTATGTGTGTGAAGTATGTAAGAAGTCATTTTGTCAAAAGCGTAGTTTAAATGAGCATATGCTAATACACTTAGGAGAAACCTCATACTTGTAACATATGTTGGAAGTTATTTAGTCAAAAAGAAGTACCTGCATGCTTTTTTACACAGGACAGAAATATCATCTGTGTGAACTATGTAATATTTAATTTAGATAATGGGTAATTTAAACAATCATATTCATACCTCAGAGGAACCTTTTGTGTAATTTGTAGAACAAAATTAAAGGATGATTTAAATAAATATAATATTAGAGGAGAGAAATCTCATGAGTTATATATGCAGGAAGTCATATGAATGTGTATTTCTAACATTGATGAGAAGCCTTGTGTCTTTTGAGGAGATGTTAATTTAGTAACAATATTTACTGGAACTGTCCATGCTGCAAAAAAACCTTATTATGTGAAGTCAAGGTGGGTTCATTCATTCATGGGGATGTAAACTTTATAAAGTATTGAGACGTGCTTCAGTGGCAGGATTTAGATCTTGAAAGCTGGATCGTATAAATCTGACAACTGACCCTGTGTGAAGGATATAAATGGTCATTTGATCAAAGTAAATAATAAACCATTTACTTCTTTCCACAAGAAAAAAAAAAAAACTTTATGTACGAAAAAATAAATCTCAAGTTATTTTAAAGAAATATTAACTTGTAAACATTTGCTGTTCCAATTAAAAAGAAAGCTTCTTTAGCAAATTGGTTTTTTTTTTTAAAGTGACTATGTAAATGTATTTCAGGACTTTTTTTTTTTTTTACTTATTCATAAGTGTTCAATCTTTATCACCTGCCAAAATGCACTATAAATATCATATGCTTGTTACCACTTTGAAATACTTCTAATAATGAAATCCTGAAGTGTGCCTAAATGTTTCACCTATTATGTGTAACTTATGTGTCTTTTCCATTAAATTTGGCTTTGTCCAAGCGTAATGCAGATATGAATGACAGCTTTGTGTTTCCTGATGGAAATGTGATAGATTGTGCATGTCATGAAATAGTATATTATGTACTTTCTATAATGAATGCATACTGAAGACCATGACTACCCAGCTACAGTACCAAATACATTTTGCAGTTAGTGCATAACATTCACAAATAGAATAGAAGGTCGCCTCGTGCTACATTGGAAAAGAGGAATGAAATCTCAAGAGATTTTCAGTCAAATCTTGGATGTACCAACTGCATGTGTATAAAGTACGTAGGAAGGCACTTGGGAGAATGAGTCATTTGGAAAATCTTTTGATGCAGGTAAGAAATGCATAGGTATTGGATATTTACTGAAAACTTTTCTGAGTTTCTTTCTTAATTTTTTAAAAATTATAACCTTAAATGTTTTCTAATAAATTATTTACACTCTAAAAAGTGAAACTGATGAAAAATATTGAAATCATCAAGATATTTAACTAAAGAAATCTAACTTTATTTTAATATAAATATTTCAAGTTTTATATTTTAGACGTTTCTTTTCCTTGTTTGAAAACATTATTAAGGCCCAAAACATAAGCTAATTAATACATATATATAAAATGTAGATTATGGGATGACTTTTGTGAATACCTTGATAATTAATTTTTTGTTAATATTTTATTTATCAAGCATAAATATAACAATGTTTAATCAGTAACCTTCAAAATTCATACATGTAAGTTTATTGTTATGCACATTTAATGCATTTTAACTCATATTCTCCTTAGTTAAATCTAGAAGGGGCATGGGCCATAAGATTAATTCAGCATGCTTTATAATAATTATCTACATAAATTAAGATATAAATGTTTACAATGAAAATTGAACTGAAATAGCATTAATGCCAAAATCCTTTTCTTAGTTTTATTGTTGTAGAAAACCCATTAGTGACACTGCATTTTTTACTCATCAAATATGCCAACAGTAAATTGGCAATGGTTTTAAACATGCTACATAACAAAGGGTAAAAATATATTTACGGGTGCCTCTTGACGAGAACTGGCATTTTTTGGCATTACATGGATACCGAGTTTATGCAATTCTTCGACTTATTATTTTGGTTTCTGTAGTGTCGATTTTTGTGCCAAAAATCACCACTACACAAAGCCAAAATACAAGACAAAGAATTGCACAAACTCGGTATCTATGTACACATCAACCTATTTTCACTTGAAAAAAAATCAGAGAATTGCACAAACTTGGCATTGCACACTTCTGTGACTTTATCCATGTACACATCATCTTATTTTCACTTAAAAAAAAACATCAGAGAATTGCATAAACTAGGCATTGCACACTCCCTTGCTTTTGTCCATGTATATATTGATTTATATTCACTTAAAATGTCAAAGGAGCAGTCAACAAAAAAATATATATTCTCAATAAACTACATTCCTTAACAGCATCCAAAAACTTCCCAAAATTATCTGACTAGAATCTGTTATACTGGCACACCACATAAATTCACAAAAAAAGAGTCGAAAATATGCTCTGTAGCGCTGGTATCCGCGTTCGACATATGCATTTTCTTCCTAAAACAGGACACTTATAATGGCACTAAGTAAATCTTCAAACACCAGGTGATAATGCTTTTTTCTTTACATTCGTTTCAAATCCTACAGAACTTGAAATTAATTTTACCACACTTAGCCATTTTACTGTGTGTAAACTATAAAATAACACGTACTGCTTATCCAAAATCCGACACATAAGCAAGCTTTCCAAATCTTTTCCCATCATTCAAATTCACCGCAATCAGCAACCAATTACATCATAATAGAATTCCATAGCATTCAACTACTCAGGTTACCATACAGGGGGTAGCTAGAGGGGGGCAAGGGGCATTGTCCCCGGGTGCAGAATCCAAGGGGGCAACTGATGTTACGACATTTTAGAATTAAATGTTTCCATCCTTGGCAAGCAGAAGGGGGGCGCGAAATCTTCCGTTGTCCTGGGCGCTGAAAAACCCTAGTACGACTCTGTACTATAAATAACAACAACTTAGCAATAATCTAAGGGCACCTTTAAAAACTACTCTAACCTAACAAACATAAAGTCAGCAGAAAATATATTATATTAAGCATATCTAAGTCGAGAGTAGTTTTTTAAACCTGATATTTAGGATAAATAGCATGACATTATGTATGTGGGGAAAAAATGTAATACAGTCAAAAGTCGTTAATTCGGACACCCATAATCCGGAATGATCTAAAATCTGGACCTCAAAGCTACAAACTTTCTGCGCATGCGTCCCGTTCACGCAGGCGTTTACGAGTGCGCGTAAGACCTTTGCGGCTATGAATATGTTTGTGCGCATGCGCGTTTATTCTGTAATGGACGGTATAAGCTAAGGTAACATTATCTAATTCAGTTAATGTTGCAGATTGCGTTGTTCCTTAATCTTCGAATTGGATCCGGCTTATTATTTTTTGCATACTGTTAGAGAAATTTCATAAAAGTAAGCTTGAACTTTCGATTATGTCAAATAGAATTTCGATTAATACTAATATGTAATTTGTATCTACAAAGCGAAAGTATGTTTCGAAATCCGAAATCTGTTATCAATTCACGCCGCGGATTGCAAGTTGATCTGTCGGACTATCCTTATCGTAGGGCAGATGTTTTTATTTTATTGGCTTATAATTCCTTACTAAGTGTAGTATTTCATCTCATGTACTCCATCTATGATATGATTTAAATCAAGTTCCTCGTCATTATAATTCGCTTCCGATAGTGAAGAAAGAAAGTGACCAGAGTTTAGAGGTTATGAAAACGAAAACATTTCGATTGACAAATTAGTCGGTATTCTCAACACAGCAATTATAGGACTTGAACAGCGGAAATTTGTAACTAAAAAGAAGTACATCTGTTTAATAGAATTAAAGAGAAAAGATTATCACATGAAACGTAACAACTACAGAATCAAAGTGTTAATAAAGTAAACAAATAAATATTAAGCTTTTCCTTTTTGTAAATTTGATACCTTTTAGATCATAATTGTTCTTTATTTCATAAATTACGGTTTCATATTTTTAATTTTGTAATTTCTGCATGCCATCTTACCAGATTTAAGCAGTTGGAATGCAAGAAGAATCGTTGCAACCAAAGAACAGCTCTTTAATTGGATTACAGTAGAATACTGCAAACTCAACATAATGTGGACTGAGAGACTATTAAGTTTTAACTTGTATTTTTCATATTATTTTATTTACTCTGACAAAGCGCAGAAGACTTTGTTTCGACTAGCAAAGCTCAAAGGACTTTGTTTTTGAAATTTACAACATTTATTATCATTGTGTACATTATTTTGAATTTTCTATATATATTTCATGTTACTTGCAAAGACATAGACTTTGCTCCCGTCAAAGCGAGATATTGTCTTTGTGTGTATTCTAGTTCAATGCATCTGTATTTTACAGAATTAAATTCATCTTTTTTTTTTTCAGAATATTAACATAATTCATTATTTTAATTTCATCATTGTATGAATGCCTGCACATTCCTCATTGCAAGTATACCATTATATTATATTTTATCTACGTCATCTTTGTATCTGATATGTTTTCTACTTTATTATATGTAATTTATACCAATTCAACTATTTGTTACCTTACTTGGAATGCTCATTGAACTTATGTTTTACCAACGTCGTGCACAAGACTTTCCAACAACTTGATTCACGTCCGCTAGATGGCACCAGGGGCACAGAATCTCACCCACTTCTGCCATTAGTGAACGAATTTTTCACCAGTTCAAACTTTCTTTTGCCCTTCTCAATTTTTTGCATAATTTTCACTTCGAAGATAATTTCTTCATATTTATTACTAATCTAAGTTGTTCAACATGAATCCATGTTGAACCACAAATCAAGTTAGATACTAATCTAAATTGTGCAGAAACACTTATTTTTTTTTTTTTTTTTAATTTTATTTCCAGCCAATGGCCTAAGAGTACTACACCAAATGGAGATCAAAACTCCCAGCTCAAGAACCAGCCAAGCATTTCTGATGTTAAGTTTCTGGAAAGTCGAGTTTTGCAGAATAATGGGTAGGTTTTTCAGAATTTTTAATATTTAACCTGTTGATGCATATAATATTATATTTATAATGTTTTGACTGAAAAGCTCTGGAAATCGAAAATTATGATCATGGAGACAGAAAATATTTGAATTTTAATAAAATCAACTAAGTAAATCTTCAATTACACACCAGTTGATTAATGCTTTTTTTCTTTCCCATTCGTTTCAAATCCTACAGAAACTTGAAATTAATCTTACCACACTTAGCCATTTTACTGTGTAAACTATAAAATAACAACGTACTGCTTATCCAAAATCCGACACATAAGCAAGCTTTTCCAAATCTTTTCCCATCATTCAAATTCACCGCAATCATGCAACCAATTACATCATAATAGAATTTCCATAGCATTCAACTACTCAGGTTACCATACAGGGGCGTAGCTAGAGGGGGGCAAGGGGGCATCTGTCCCCGGGTGCAGAATCCAAGGGGCGGCAAACTGATGTTACGACATTTTAGAATTAAATGTTTTCCATCCTTGGCAAGCATCCAAGCACTCATTCATCTGTGGGTGGTGGTCGCACTGTGAAACCAGCACGCATCTAGGACTTCCTGAGGAAGTAGGGAGAAAAATTACCTTTTTCCCATGCACATTACCAATAAATGATGAAACGTGAATTTTAAAAAATGTATTTAAGAATTTCATTACATATAAATTTTTTTACAGTATTTTACAAAGTAAATTGTCAGAAAAAATGAAAAAATAAGCATTTATGTAATTTTTCTATAGCAGTGAAAACATAAGAACATACATAATAAGGATGTTCAGATAAATAGTTAAAAAAATCAGTAAAGTAAGGATAGAAAAACTCAATATTCTTTTTTTTTTAAATGTTAAAAGAACTTTTTTTTTTTTTGGTGTGTGTGTGTGTGTGCGTGCCACTGTTAGGCCTACATTGCACATTTCGCACATGTATCTTGTTCTCTGAGATTTCTCCCTTGCGCTACAAAATGTACACTGCCGGATTCGCATTTTACTTACATATGTCCAGTGTTCTTCTAGTCTCTTTTTGTCTCGCACAAGAAGTTTATGATTTCTTATGTTAATGGGGGAGCTTGGTCTTTTTGGCTTTGGTATACATTTTTCGTTTCCCATTTGTATTTATTTTATTCATATTTTGTCCCAAAATTTTCATAAAACATTTTAAATTTAAATAAAACTTTTACATGATTTCTATTTTTAATTACAGCAAAGTATATTTACATTGTATTTAAACCACACAATTTATAAAATCACTGGAAACAAGCATGTTGAGCTCAAAGGAAAATCTCTGAAAAGGAAAGACATTTTCATTGGGCAGGTGCATGTATTGTTTAGTAATAAAATACTCTTTTTAGTTTCAAATTCTTGTTAAGAAGACTCCACACACAAAATTAAATTTACCTAAAAACCTAACCTATCTACTACAAGCATCGCGTTGTGATTTAAAAAGAACCGCTGCAACCTCATGTAGGTGACTGGTGAGGATCATGAGAAATAATTAAATAAAAACATACAATTGTTATTTCAAGAAAAGCATGACATTTTTTTATCAATGAGAGAGTCAAAATATCATTTTAACATACTGAAAATCTTCAGTATGTATATAAATAAAACATTTCTTCCCGGGAGAAATCAAGAAGGAAATAAAAAAAACATGGATATATATAAATTTGATTGCACCTTTAAATCTGTGTTTAGTTTAACATTGTCACCGAAATCTATTATTCTATCTTAATCAAATACTCAAATTATCTGCATAAAGGGTATTTTATAAAAACGTTTTGTAGAACAAATTATTTATCCAACATATTGGACATAAAAATCAATCAAAACGCAACTTTTAACAAAATTCCCAGAAGGATCATCTACACTCGACTTAATTTCAAACAAGAAGTATTTGCTTAATTTACAACTATTGCACTAATTTATTTCTTCAGTAAATATTACTTTACAGCAGATATGAGAAAGTATTCTCAAATCTCGGAGCCTTAACTATTAAATAACTTTAACTAGATATTTTTATTTCCTTGAGTTATAGTTAACTTAAAATTTCCCGAACTTTTCTTTAATTGCAGCACCAGTGAGGTATTTACTTAACAAATCATATCAACTCAAAACAAAAAAAACTCTTAATTCTCTTAACTTAGTGAAGAATAAATTTTCATTTTTAATATTTTAGAAGCTTAACTAACCAGAAAATTTACATGCCAATCGAAAGAAAACAAAATTTAAGAAAAAATGCAGAAATCCAGACCACCTCAAAAAGCTCTCTGCACCCTAAGATGAGTCGCCGCCCTCAGATCACCCAGAATGGAGGCAACAGATCAGACGGGGCGGAATAAAGATCCTTTTCTCTGCTAATCCCGCCTTCGTTGGAATAGATGGTAAATGAAGGAGAAAACATCCTGAAGAAGAGTAACTAGTTCGCTGTAGCAGGAATATGAAATAATTCATCGGATGGAGTTGATTCTATGATCTTGAAGTTCATCCGTCTCAGGGTTTGAGGAAAAGAGAAAGTGAAATATCACTTCTGTGGAGCTGAAATTCCTAGGCACTTTATAACTCCTCCAAAACTTTATAAGTATATATAAATGAAAACTTACTTTATAAGTATATATAGATGATGACTACGTTTAATGGGCAAACTAGGCCTGGTAATATCCTAAGGTCTCATTTCAGCTTCCCACATTTGAAGCTAAATGCACAGCAAGTTTCTTAGTCCTGAGACCAGAGCGAAATCAATCGAACATTGTGAAAAGCCTGATTTAAAAAGAACCGCTGCAATAAACAAGCGAGAAGAGGCGAAATCCCGACTTGCAACTCCTTTTAGATATGATGAGACTGCCACATTGGCTAACAAATGCTGGAAATTGTGGAGAGAAAAAAAAAAAAAAAAAAAACCAGTTTCTACAACCACCGCCTCACGCGATGTAAAATTTCTCCTTTTTTCCATTCGTTGAACTAAACACAAATGTAAATATCGCCAACTATCGCCGAGCCTGGAACATTTACGGATGCCGAGCTGGCAAACATAAACTCACCCCTCCAGAAATCCCCTAACTGTGTATGCAAGAAAATTAGAAATCTTGTTAGAAACTGTGTTTTTACTACTTCCTGCCCCATTACTTTCCACACAACGAAAGATGAAAATTTCAGTTAAATAATTTACTATATCTTAAAATCTGTTATAGCTTGATTCTTGAAAGTGATCTGAAATTAAAGAGCTCATTTTTCTGGTTCTATTGGTATAAATTAACAATGAGTAAACTTATGTTAAGTGATATAAAATCAAGATTATTACATAGAAAAGCGGCCGATTCCATTGTGTGTTTCAGCGCGTTTACAAGTAACGAGTGAAAAGAACGTACCAATTCTTTCGTACAAAACTCCATTTAAAAATTAAACAAACTTAGCACAGATATTAAATAAAATACACATTGTGTAGCATAAATTTAGAATATCAATAAATGAATTTTTAGTGAGTTGTAATTTAAATAATTAAGTGAATTTGCTACACAACATATCCTCCCGTGATTCGGAAAAAAATTTTAGCTTGCTAGAAATTTTCAGACACACAGACAATGGAACAAGGTTTATAGAGTGTTCAAGTAAAAGAAGGTAAAAGTAAGGCATTGGTACAACCACTTGTCAATCGCAGAAAAGGATATAAGTTCCTTTCCTTAATCAAAATCTTACCATATATATGGTTAACAAAAAAAGAATCCAATGTAAGAAAAATATGTAAGAGGGTCAAGAAGTCTCCCTGGAGAACAACCAAATACAAATCAAAACAAAGAATATAAGTGTTGGCAAGCAACGCGTGACATGCCCCAAAATAAAATATAACGCTGATTTTTGTTGTTTGACTTCTGAAAAGGTATTTATTCGGCATGTTATTGTGTCTTAATTAAAAACAAGTGTAAACAAATTGTAATCATCACGAAACCGCACCCACAAGGCAAACTGAAAGTAAAATGTATGTAAATAAACAAATCAAACACCACTAAGTATATGGGTGTGAAAATAAGCAAAACAATTGAACAGCTAACAGAGCTTGACACAAAACAAAATCAAAACAGGCCAACTAATTACCTATAAACTCAGTCACAATCTAATGTGACACTACAAACACGAAAATCAGTTTGTAAGGAAATGACCTCAATTCCCTGTGCAGTCGGTCACAAAAGTATTCAAACAACAGAACCCATTCAGAACATATACTCTTCAGGTGGGGGAAACAAAATGGTAGCTCAAGTCGATCTTAGTTAGGGAAAACAAAATTGTAGCTCAAGTCAAACTTGGTTAGGGAAGACACAATGGTAGCTCAAGTCAATCTTGATTAAAAAACTGTATTTTTTTGTTTAAAAATTCTCTCTATAAGTTAAATGCATGTCCTTTTCCATACTTGAATGTGTTATGACAAGTTTGGCAAAAACATTTTAGTTTAATATACGTCAATAATGTGGGAATTTGGAACAAGTTTGCTAGAAATTGTGAATATCTTTGGTTGTTAGTAATTAAAGTGTCTTCATCCTAAATTCCAATAAAGTGCTTTCAATATTGATCTTCCTCATTATTACAACCATTCAGAAATGAAGTTCAGCAAGGTTCAATCCTTTCCAATAATCTCTTCAAACTTGTCACGACTGAACTATATATCATCATAACATTGGGAACCCAAACTTGTAAAGGAAGAAGAATTTTTTTAGAGTTCATTGGTGTGCAGGCAAGCCTCCACATTATTCAGTGTCAGGTGTGCTATCCGCAACCGCTCAAGGACGATAAGGAAAAAGATTGCCACAACTGGTTTCTCGCTCTTCTGCTGCTGGCGGTCGAGGGTGTAGGACGGGCTTCGGTCTGTACTCTCCCTGGCCGATGCGATGTGCCATTTTCCTGCTTCTCTTTGCTGTTCCTTCGATGCTGTCTGCCATAGATGAAAATCTTTTTAGCGAGATTTTTACATGAAGATTTAAGAAAATAATTAC